TTCCTCAAGTTATGTTTTTTTATATATATAGTATATAGATAATATTCGTGTAGTAAGATTTTAATTATAAAGATAACCTTTTATAAAAAGTAACATATAAATAGAATAACTTCACACTACAATTACAAGAAGAAGAAGAAGAAAAAAACACTAGTTGCTAAACCTAGGTCACATATAAGAGAGAAAGAGATATTCTATACATTGCACTTAAATTCGTAGGCTTCTCTTATTTTTGTCGTGAGAGAAAAGAGACACTTCTTTATGATCGGTTAATATTTTTTTCAGAGATATGTTACCGTACATAGGTTGATACATACGTATGCCCCTAAGACATAAAGAAATCATGAAGAGTCGTTAGGTACATTTTTCTTTTAATTAATCTAGAATATCCGTTGTGAGACAAAGATAAATTAAGAAAACCCCACGTCGTTGTTACAATACAAATATGAGAGTTGCTACGGTACCCTTAAAGATGGAGGAGTTTCAATACATTTTTCTATGTAAACTTATAAAAAAATTTAAAAAATTTAATTTAATTATAAAATGAATAATCTAAATTATACTTATAAAATAAAAAATAAGATAAAATTATAGAGATTAAAATTATAAGTTTTCAATAATATTATAAAATATTAAAGAAAAAGAAAAAAAATTAATAAATAGTAGAAATAAAAAGTTATCAAAATTACAATATAGAAATTCAAAAATTTAAGACAAAAAGACAAAAAATATACTTAAAAAATTATTAAAATTAAAATATAAAAATTCAAAAATTTTAAGTGAAAAGATAAAAATATACTTAAAAAATTATTAAAATTAAACTATTTAAATATATAATAATATTATTACAAATAAATTAGAATATATAAAATAAAAATAAAATGACTAAATAATTTAAAAATTGAAAGGATAAAATATCATAAATATTATTTAAATAAATTACTAAAAATATAAAATATAAAAAACTGTACCGGTACCCTCTCAAATAAGATGGGTACCATAGAATTTCTCTACAAGTATATATGATAAGTAATATTTTTAACATGTGTAATTATGTATAAGTAAAATTTATAATAAATTATATACAAATAAATATTATATTTAAATGTATAAATTGATCATATTAATTTAAAATTTGTGTAAATGAATATTTAAAACATATATATTATATTTTAAATTTATGGTAAATAATTTATATTATAATATTAAGATTTAATTTATAAATAATTAAAAATAAAAAAATAAATTGGATAAAAATTTTAAAAAATTATTAAAAAAAATTGTCAAAAAAATTTCATAAAAATACTCTCATATAAAATAAGTATTTATCTTTTATATATAAGGTTGAGAACATATTTAAAAGAAAAGTTTTATCATTCATAATAATTTTATCCGATTAAAATATAATTTTCTTGAATAGAAATTATTTATAGTCAATGATAATAACACATTAGATATATTTAGAAAGTTGTTCTCCATCATGAAACCATAAAGATCAGATTTCAAAATTTACTCTTCTGGTTAAGTTTCGGAGGAACTATTTTCAGAGACAAATCTTGAGCACTAGCAATTGATTGAAAATGGAAGGAATTTTAGAAGCATATGAATGAAGCACAAGGTAGCAATTGATATCCGTTAATGGTAAGATGATGCACGCGTTTCAATTTTTGAGAGATTACTCAACATAACTTTAAAGGAAAATTGAGGTGACGAAGACGAAATGATAGCAAGAGAATAAATTCGATTCTTTTTTTAGAACGTTTTCCTTAAAACTTAAAAGGAATAAAAATAATAGTTTTTAGTCACTATAATATATATATTTTTCTCTATCGTTTTTATCTTCTTATTTTAGCTCTTATAATTTTTTAATGTTTTATTTTAGTTTAAAGTCTCTGATATATATAGGTTGCTTTTATATATACTAGGAGATATTTATTTTAATTCATGTTTTTTAAGAAATATTAAACTTATTTTTTTAATTATCTTTGTTAGTCCGGTCATTAACCGAGACAAATGAGAAAAAAATTTAGGGAATAAAACAGAAAAAAGAAATTAAAAGAACTAAAATAAAAGCAACCTTATATTATATGTGTACTGAAAAGCTACTTAAGAAAAAGAAAACAACAAAAAAAAGTAGAAGAAAAAATTGTTCAAGAAGTAATTTTGGACAAAAACATTGCTAATGTTTCAAAATTTAGATTGTTTATAAAAAAAGATAAGGATCTTGATTTTATCATTTTAAAGAAATTATCGGTTAGATTTTTTTAGATTAATTGGTCTTTTTTTACACTTGACCTCAATATATATTTAGTTTAGAAATAATAATTATTATAAAAAAATTGTTATATAGTGACATAATACATATGACTAAAATTACTTTTTAATTACTTACATTATAGATACAATATATATTGATATATTATTAAAAAATATAAGTATAGATTATAGTGACACATAATATATGTTGATAAATTTCATTCAAAATTAACACTAAAATAGAAATGATTAAATATAGAACTATAGATATAAATTCCATTTTAAAAAGAGAATTTTTTAATTGTAGTTATATATAAAATAGATTTATACTTACATATATTAACTGTATTTACATTTTTTTATATGTCACTGTATGTAATATTTCTTGCAATAAATTTAAAATCAAAGTTCATTAGTACTTGTTTTCTTTAACCATTGACTAGGATTCGATTGAAATCGTGACTAAAAATATTGTTTTATCTCTATAGAAACTGGTCCAACATATTGAAATTACATCTTCTTACTTAACAAAAAAATAATAATAATTTAAATATTTCTTTTTATAACATATCTTCTCTTCTTTCAAAATAAATTTTTCTTTAAAAAGAATAACTAAAGAGTTTAATTCCTATACACAGTTGTAAAAACTGTTACACCGTATAAATTAATTAAAAATTATTGTGGGTATCACTACAACAAAATAAATTTTTATTAGTGGCATTTAATATTATTTTTAGTGGTAATAAAAATTGCTACAAAATCTTTTAGCGACATTTCCACAATAGTCATTGTATGCAGTGTCGCTAAAACATTTGGTGGCAATTATTCTAAATGTTGGTAAAAATCCTTATAATTGTCAGAAAAAGTGTATAACTTTTTTGTGACATTTTTTACTTTCTACTCGATGTGGGACTTGTAAGGTGAGGATTGTCTTTTACTTATATTTTTTTTAATTGTCTTATCTCTTAATTAATCATTTATCAATAGTCGATGTGAGATTTGGATTTTTTCAAATACACCCCTCAAGTTTAGGAACTATTGAGTTTGATAATAGTCTTATACTAATTTAGAATAGTAAGTTATAGGTCTAACTTAACCCTACAAAATAAACTTGTAAGGTAAGAGTTATCATCCATTTATATATTCTTTAATTATATTATTTCTGGTCGACGTGGGACTTAAGTTTTTCTAAATAAATAATTGTTGCTAATAGTAAATTTTGGTGTGATATAAATACATTTTTATGACCATTATATAAGTCATTAATATTTTTATTTAATAATAAAATAAAAGTAATTAATTTATTGCTACTAAATAATTGTCGGTAATAATCAATTTTGTTGTAGTGTATGTATATGTCTTTTTAAGTGGCTATTATAAAAAAATTTACCAAATGTTAATTACAAAAATTTTAATTAATTAATAATGTACTATATATATTATCATTGCAAACTCTATTTATTTAATAAAATAATTTAATTTTTTATAATTGATCAATATTTATACTATTAATTAATTAAAAATTATAGAAATTATAATTTCTAAAGTTGTTATATACTTATATTGTTATTGTCGGAGGTATTTTAAAAAATAAAAATTATTATCGAAGTTTTTACATCAACTTGTGTTATATTATGTCTTTCCTAGTATATGTAGCAATTTGCTTTGACACAACCCCATAAATGTGAATTGTGACTTGTGAGAGAGAAGACAAGTTGAGGTGAAGAGTTATTCCATACGCAAATTAATGACATGCCATTATATGCGAGTGGATAATTTTTGCTTGGTGGAAACTGTTATACGTTGTAATTGAAATCCAAGGAGGCCACCATTTAGTTAGATATATATATATATATCACCCTCAATTAATCACTCTCAATATTCTTTCTTTCTTTCTTTCATCATTATTTTAAATAATTGATATGAGTATGACCCCATCTGACGTTGAAACATGTATCAGATCCATCCACTATCATTTTACGGTATCTCCTGAATGACTCACCACGTCACTCGCACTAACTTTTTACTCATACATCACATACATGGTTTTTTCCTATTACCAATTCCTACTCCATCATCACTTGTGTTATATCATTCATAGGGACACAATAATTGTGAAATAATGTCTAAACCATACAGTCCCCGTATTAAATTAGATGTTGAGATATCCAACACCATAATATTATTGGTGATTGGGTGACATATATATAGATATTTAATTATTAAATGATATATATGTATATATACATGCATGGATCGAGATGAGTATATAACTTGTTTTTCATTTTGGGAGAAATACATAATATACACACATTGTAACAATATATATACTCTTCCATGATTCTAATTAAATGCTATGCACATATATAGCATATCCATTCTTACGTGACCATAAATCATTGATTTGCATGCGTCATGACTAGGCACTCTCTTTCCATTTGGTTGCCAATGAAATCAAATATCCCCCACCCCCGAGAGAAAGAAGAGAGAACAACATGAATTATTTTCTAGAGATATAAACAAAAACAACATTTCCCTTAACTTTTTTTTTTTCTTCTTCTTTTGAGTTTTGATTGTACTATACAAATATAATATTATTCTAGAAATTGTACTCGGAATATGTTTCTTTAATTTATTTTCCTTAATGGATAAGGGAATCTGTGGGAAGGAAAATAGAGGTGAGAGAGTTAGTGGCCGGGGCTAGCTTGTTTTAAAATCTTGCTTTTGGGGCCTATAAGAAGGCCATTGCGCTTCTTAGAGTGTGTCATCCACAAACTCACAAAACATAACCAATAGCTTATTAGTGAGTTTGTGTTTGTGTTTGTGTGTGTGGTAAGGTTAACTAGAAGATGGAGGATCAAAATGCATCATCTAATGGAATGGGGAAGACGTTCCGCAAGATTAAGCCCTACCTTGCTATGGTGTCCCTTCAGTTTGGGTACTCCGGAATGTACATCATCACCATGGTTTCCTTCAAGCATGGCATGAGCCATTGGGTACTCTCCGTGTACCGTCACATAATTGCCACTCTCATCATGGCACCTTTTGCATTTGTCCTCGAAAGGTACGTCTCTTTCTCCTCCTCAAATCTTCCTTAAGCTTTTCTCATCTAAAACTTTTCTATTTCCTCTTTTCCATAAACACTAATATGGGAAGAAAATAGATACACAACTAACACGTACACTAAGTAAAGATTTTCTCGTATTATAACTTTTTCCTTCATGAGTTGTGATGATCCTTTATGCAGAAAAATACGGCCAAAGATGACTTTCCCTGTGTTCCTGAGGCTAGCAGCTCTCGGTTTCCTTGAGTAAGGCTCTTCTTCAACCCTTCACATCTCACGTATCAATATATTCGCAGCACTCACTCGTACTTTTTGTTTGTTCCTTCTAAGTCCCTTCATGGGCCCAACTGAAAAATATACCAAGTACACATGCATGCATGGCTTTCTAGCCATGCCGATGATACCTATTCCCTTATAATATTAATTATTACTAAATATATAATAAGTATGATGTTTTCAAAACTCAACCTGTTGTCAAACAATCAAGACATTGATTCAATGTTCTGTGGCTAAACAGTATGGTCTTGAACCAATATTAATAAATAATAATAGTTTCGTAATAAATAAAATAATATTAAAGATACATAATATCATAAATTTATAATATTAAAAACTTAAAATAGAACATAATTTTATGTGTTATTAATAATTAAATTAATACAAAAGTTCAAATTAAATATATTATAATAGTTTAAGTCTAAGTTTTAGAAATATATACCGATCGATATTTATTAATAATAATACATTTGTATTTAGAATAGTAAAAAAATTGACAAATACTTCAAGTTGAATTTTAAGTAAAAGTTGAAATATTGTTGTATTAAAAATATTTGTTGACTCATTGTCAACCGTTTTTCTTTTTTTACCAATTCTTTAATAATTTTTCAATTCTTTGGCTGATTTTTTACTAAGTCAGTTTTTTTATTTATGAATTTTATAATATACATACAGGCAATAATCTGATTTGGTGTACATATTTTTTAAGAAGATTTTATCCTCAAATTTTTAAATAGTAAAAAATTATATTAAAAATTAATTGTCCTTATAAGATCTTAAAATTTAATAATCAAACATAACATCAATTGATCTAATAAATACTAATAATTTTTAAATATTTTTATTAAATAAAATATAAAAATATGAAGTAATGTGACGAATTATAATAAAGGGATTGAACTTTTTGGTATACATAATTTTTGTCCAATTTTACCTTTATAACTATTATTTTGCAAGTTACAAATTATTTATTCTTTTTTGTAAATTTCATTCCATAATCATCTATATTTTTAATAATCATCTACTATTATATAATTTTTATCATTTATTATTTTTAAAAATAATTCACATAAGCTCGAAGTATTTTTTTTTTTCACACTAGTTTAAACTAATTAAGTGATTGGTTTCCTGATTTTCTATAATGTATTTGTTTAGAGTCACTTTCGAATTCCAAAATTCCATTAAATAGAAAAGCTGTCTCACAAAACTTTAATATTTAATGGAGCATAAGGACAATTCAAATATGCATGCCTCAAGTCTGTATAGCTAATTGGGTTCGACTTTCAAGACAAATAAATCTATACATATTCATCCTTTTGGGGAAAACTCCGTCAGAGCCGTAGCTACTTGTATTTTTCTTTAATTTAGCTTCTGACGTGCTAATTGGTTCTGTTGTGTGTCTCACTAAAATCGAAACCGTTAAAGAAATTAAGGAATATTAATAGCATATAATCCATAATATCAAAACGTTAGAAATGCGACAACTCGATAATGGTGCTTCATCATGTTGGCCCACCATTTCTAGTGGACACATCATACTCAAAGAAGCAATCCACCACGAAATGACATAAAATCATTTGATCGTTCATTTAACAACTTAAACATTAAAAATAAACAAATAACACCAATCCATTGCCCTGATACTTTAGAATCGTTTTTTATCGGTGGTATATAAAAAAGTAAAAAATAATTGATTCATAACATAATACTATAGTTTCTATACCATCAAATGATTTTAAGTTGAAGATAAATTAGATGTCTGCATCTTAACAGTTTAAGCAATGTTTTAAACAGTCTTAACATGATAGTGATTTCCTTTTATCATTTCTATTAATTATGCAATGGAAAGGATATAGCCTCTATTGTTATTGTCAGAAAATCATTTACCTGTGTTCATCCACGGATGAGCACTAAAAATGGTAGAGTAGGATGATGGAGAGCCTCAAACCTAAAGAATAACAACCTGAGGCTGATAAACCGTCAAATAAATTTGGCTTATCATAAAAGAAAAAACTAACGCAAAATATGGCAGATAGAGACACCCTTTTTGGACAAAGAATATCATCTAGCCTAGTAAGTATGAAATAGGGGCGGGGCATCTTTTGTACTTTGGGATATAACTAGATTTTCTTTTGTCAAGGATTTGGTTATGATTTGAAGGAAATACATACTACGACATAGTTTTTTGTTCTGATTATTTTGTTTGTGATGAAAACAAACAGGCCCGTGCTTGATCAAAACTTGTACAACATGGGAATGAAGAACACCTCAACAACGTTTGCATCGGCCTCCATTAATGTCCTCCCAGCCATTACTTTTATATTGGCACTCATTTGCAGGTAACTGTAGATGCTTAATATCCTTTCACCATAACAATGACAGCTTATGTGCTTACGCAAAAGAAAAAAGGCTAGTAGCATAGCATTCCTATAGCTAGAATCCAATGCCAATAATATGAGCAAAAGTCACACTCACGATATTTTGAGAGATGAAAAATCATATTTAATCTTATATTTTTATTAATGCGTGTCAATTTTAATTAGTGGAGCGGCATAAAAGACAAACATCAAATTACAGGTGATTTTTTCCGTATGGTACCACTCATTGACAAGTGCCCCCACAAATGTCAAATGGGTCACATATGTTCACATACTTAAAAAGAATAATAACCAATTAATACTTTGATGTAATGCAATCCAACGCTAATGATGTGAATGGAAATTGCGTTGAGCAACAAAACAGAATTTCAAGGCATGCATGATATCATGTCTAATCATATTCTTGCAATGTGCTAACCAGGTTAGAGACAGTGAACTTCAAAAAGGTACACAGTGTAGCCAAGGTAGTTGGAACAGCAGTAACAGTCACAGGAGCCATGGTTATGACTTTGTACAAAGGCCCTGCCCTTCAGATCATAAAGGGACATGCAGCAAGTCACCATGACAGTGGCAGCACCACAGAGCCCTCTGAACAAAACTGGGTGCTTGGCACAGTAATGCTCATTGCAAGTTGCGGTGGTTGGGCTAGCTTCTTCATCTTGCAAGTATAATCTACTATCCTTCACTTTTACACATGCATACATGTTTTTGAGTAAATTACTAAACACCCTCATAGTTTGTGAGATTACATACAATTTTTTTATTTTTTTCATCGTTCACTGTGACCTTTCTGGGGTCATAGTGTAAGCAGTGGGGTATACAATTTCACAAACTTCAAAGAGTGCTTATGTAATTACTCTATATTATTTTATTTTAATAAGTCCATGATTAAAAAAAAGACGTTCACGTACTAATAGAGTGTTACTGTACTTTGTGGTGTTAGTCCTTCACTTTGAAGATGTACCCAGCAGAGCTCTCAGTTACAGCTTGGATTTGCTTTTTGGGCATTTTTGAGGGTGGAATTGCTACTCTTATATTTGAACGTGACATGAGTGTGTGGTCCATAGGCATGGACTCAAGGCTACTTGCTTGTGTTTATTCTGTGAGTACCCCATTGGTTCTTAATTTTTACCTTATACTTTGTAATTGATTAATCATTAATAATTCTTACAATTCTCGCGACTAATCAGTTAGTTTAATTAATCTCATAATAATGAATTGATGGTCAATGATTCAAGTAATATAACACTCAATTCTTGATAACTAGGGTGTGGTATGCTCTGGAATGGCATACTATGTACAAGGAGTTGTGACCAGGGAACGTGGACCTGTGTTTGTGACTTCTTTCAGTCCTCTTTGTATGATTATCACTGCTGCATTGGGATCCATTGTCTTGGCTGAGCAAGTTTTTACGGGAAGGTATGCAATGTTCAATTAACATAGTTCTTGTGAATAAAACTTAATTACATGCAATATTATGTGTTATTTTCTAATTAAAATTGAAATTTTACTTTGATAATATATTTAATAAAAATTTCATTAAATATGTTAATACATATTGAAGTAAAATTTCAATTCTAATTAGAGAAGAACACTAATCATATCAAAATTTATATATAAAGTTTTGTTCCTTTGTCAATGCCAAAATTAAAGTGTGAAAATTTTGCTGTGTTTTGCAGTATAATTGGAGCAGTTATCATTGTGACTGGACTTTACACCGTGGTATGGGGAAAAAGCAAAGACAAACTGAACACAACGGACGTAGCAAAAAGTGAGGGCCAAGAATTGCCAATTAAGGATGATACAAAGTCAGGAACAGACAATTTTGACAGCATTGAGATCAATGTTCCTACTGGGGCAGGAAAGAATGTGCTTCCTTCAGCACGAACATAGGTCCCCTAGGACTAGCGTAACAGATTTTCCTACTAATTAAAATGATATCAAGAGAGATTTTGTGCTATGTACAAATCTTTCACAATGGCTGCGTTTTCTTATGTACCTTACTTGCTTTCCCTTTGACCCGTTTTGTGTTGCTGAACCTTGAGTATGAGTAAAATAACGCATTGATGCTTTTGTCTCTGTTTTTGTCCCTTTGGTACTTGTTTTAGTCTGCTAGTCTTAACAAATTTTAACTAAACATATATTTGCTACCACTTCAAAAGGAAAACAAAGACATGAAAAGAAAAATATTGTTATCAAATTTAATATAACATTTTAAAGTATAATTACACAAATACACCATCGCTTTCTCATCATTTCAACTCCTTTGGTCCTAATGATTATTCGTTACTGACAATGGTCAGTTATTTCAGTAGGGGATGATGAGCGCTACAGTAAACAAGTATAAACAATGACAATAATATCATGGCAAGTGGTTGTGGTAATAAATGATAATATTAATTGCCAACAACAACAAAAAATAGTTGAAAACTCCCAACAAGAAGGTATCTATGGTCCTAGACCCTCACTCAACCACTATATGACATATAAGTTTTTAATTTAGGAGAAAAAACTAATAATATATTAATATTTGATTACATGTCATATATATATATAGAAAGACTTGTTAGAGATCATATGATTTAAAATTAACTAATAATTTCTTTCAAGTAATTTATTAGATTTTTTTTTAGAACAACTTATTAAATATTTTGTGAAAGAAAATAATATATAAACAAGTTATATCATGCATGTGATAAAAAGAGAATAAGAAGAATAAAATAAAAATAAGTATTAGGAGTGTGTATAAAATAGTGGTGTCGTCCAAATATCATTCCTATTAATTGTATAGTTCCTTTATTGTTTTCTACCTCTCTTCCTTTCTTATCACATATCACATTTTATCTTTGTCCTTTTTCTATCTCTCTTATTATTCAAGGTAGATACAGTAGTTTGTGACTGTACCAGCAACAATAATATATATAGTGGTAGAGGTTAATCGGAGGTAATAATTAATATTTATCATCATACAAGTAATTTTCATTTCACTTTGTTTTGGGTGGTGCTTTCCACTGTCCTATACCGTTTGGCATTTCTACGGTCTTTTAACACCACTAGAACACTAGTACCGACAAAGATAACTGTTTGAGATGCGTCTGTTCTTATATCATGGTACTTTTCATTTGGAGGTGACTTTATTGTTCCCTGTCATCCCCAACTTATGTATGTTGATCCGATGAACACATTTTTTTACGTAATACTATATTTTAATATATAGGTTTGGTGTAGTGGTTTATGTGCTTGTCATATCTGCTACCACAAAAAAGTTAGCATAGATGGAAAAATATTTAGCAATCATAGCATCTTCTAAGCAAGTACGTTTCTAACATGATTTGTTTGTGTGGCTGCTAAAATTAGAGTAAAAAAGTAAACAAAAAGAAAGACAACAATTTGTGATTGTGGCCAACACCACCAACTTTTTGTGTGTAGTGAATTTGGATGAAAGGCCACAAATAATCCAATCATCACAAATGCTCTTACTTGACAACCGCATAAGATTATAGTTTTATTTCTCCTACATTCGGTCAAGTAACATTGTTTTCTCAACTTGCACAATAATATATATACTAGGCCTTAGTTCGTTGTGAAAGTTTGTGTTAACTGATATTATGTATATAAAAGAAAGAGTTTGTGATATATTTGTAACTTGTTTGATGTTCGATAAAATAAACCTTCATTTCATTCGTTTATTGGCCATGATTTGTCGTTAACTATAACCGATTATTCTAGTAGTATAGGGGTTGTTGGTGATGGTGTGAGACGGTAAAAAGTCGTAGACCACACTGAAAATGGTGGGTTGTTGAAACAGTTGATGGCGTACAGAGGAGTTGCGCAAAGACACAATGAGGTTGTAAAATTTTGTACTAAACAAAATTATGGTTTGAAACTTTTATGGACCCTTGTAGCATTTGTCTTGGAAACATGTCACATGTTACATAATCATGTCTAAACATGGCCATGTGACTAGGGTTGACGAGAATGCAAAAGAAGAAGTCAATCATACATAAAGATTTGAGGGGTTTTAAATCGCATGTATTAAATTCTCTTATCTTCGATTTTTAACCACGTGGTTAGTAGTTATTTTCTTCTTTTACTTTCTATATAATCAAACAAAAAGAAATTAAAATTTTAACTTTCTTTCTTTTCTACCAAAGACCACAAAATCATTTCAGTTTCTATTGATAGGGTTGATGTGATGTGGAATGGGGTTATGGAGATGACTTTATGGAAGATTTGGAGGTCTGATACTTACTTGGATAACTAGTAGTTTTGGTGTTGAGTAAGCATTTTTAATGAACATTTCATGGGAGTTAAATGATATGGTAAGATAATTAAGATGCATTATCAATTTTTTATGTTCCTTGTGCCTCCTTCAGATTATGAATGTAACAATTACCATCCTCAAGTCCAACAATTTTGAAAAACTGATGCACAGCAACAGTTCCAAATTGTGATTTGATACATTATTGTGGATGTGAAAGATTTTTTCTTCAGCAATTGCATTGCGCGCGATGAAAAGAATTATCTGTCAACGCACTTGGTTTCAAGGTGTTTTTACTTTTTGTTTCATTATGTGGCTTCTCCGAGTTTGAAATGCCAAAGGTGCTTTCATACTACCAATAAGTGGTTTCATATTACTAAAGGTGCTTTCATATTATCTCATACAATTCACTTATATGAAAATTAATAAATATAATTGAAGTTCAAGCTAAATATATTATAAATATGATAAAAATAAAAAATAAAAATTAAAAAATCTAATTTTATATTATTTTTTAGTTGTTCATAGAATATATTTTTCAGACAATTTTTACTATATTTATAGTCTTTTTAGATCCAAATTTCAATTGCATTTTATAATTTTCATATAGGTGAATTTAATATTACAAGTTTCGTATTTTGAATTAATCAAAAATTAATTTAAAATTATGTCGCAAAATTGAAAATAATCATTGTTTTAATAGGACTAAATTGATACAAATATAAAATATAAAGAGGCAAAATAAATATTTTAATAGATGAAGAACTTAAATGAATCTAAAAAATAAGATAAAAAATCAAAAGTATAATTTAACTTATTTGTTTTCTCTTTCAAGATTAGAATGTTAGATAAATAAATAGAGGTTCTCTAGATGAGAAAAATCATCCCTATAGTAGGGTCACTGTCTTAAATGAGAGAAAAGTTATATGATGGAAAGTTTTCAAGTTTCGTTACAAAACTTGTGAGGGAGAAGTTTTCAAGTTTTACCGATAAAACTTGTGAGAAATGGGTTTCAAAGTTTCATCCATAAAATGGGTTTCAAAGTTTCACTAATAAAACTTGTGAGAGAGTGATTTTCAAGTTTCACTCATATTCACAAATTCATTTCAAAATACACTAAAATATGAATACTTTGATTACTTTCAAATTGTTGTTCAATTTTAACAAAATTTGATATACACGTATAAAGTAATATGAACTTTCAATCTAACAGTTGGATTTACAAAATTCACATTTAATATAAAATTATTGAACAGTGTAATACTTAGTAAAAGTTATACCATTGTAATTATAATCATCTATATATATATATATATAT